GGGAATTACTGAATTTAAAAATGATGGGACAATTAGCCTGGTTAGACTTTTTACGAAGTCTTTTGCATTCACATGGAACACTAGCCATGCTGCAACAAATCAGGATTTTGTGTCTTACAGTTTTCAGGGGCAGAGAATCTGGGACGTTGTAAACTATAGCCTGGTGAGAAGAGGTTATACGCTTCATCACCTCCATAGCCAAGCAGTCAATCAGATTTTCAGCTTTACTTAGGTTGTCTGGAGATATTTTAGGATGTTGTTTTAACAGACAGGCTATTGGGTCTAAATCCGAAAGCTAGTATTGAGTTACATCCAGTGAAGACTTAGCCTGTCCAATAACAGAACGGCTCTCCGTGGTATTTGAGATTGGCAGTGACATACCATCAAACTGATCTAATTTTTCCTGAAATTCACTTACTTGCCTCTGGATATCTTTCAAAAGGAGGTTTAATTTACAGAAGTCAGAGTTCTGTAACAGAAAATCTTTCTTGAATTGAATTTTTGATTTTCCCGTCGATTGTTTGGACCGAAGTGCTCGGTCTCAGGTTGACATGTCGGCTTCTTGTGCAGATGCTTCGATGATGTCTGGGCATTTAATTAGTATACAATTGGTGGATGGTGGCTAGCAGTGGAATCCAGGATGCGCATTTCGTTCTATTTGGGACTCGTCATATGGATGTACCTGCATTTCTCAGTGAGTGATGATGTTCCCACCGAGGCTCGAACCCAGTGCCCATAGTTTCAAACGCCAAGGCGTTATCCACTAGACCACTTGGGCCACGAGAGCCACCTCTTGTGCAACAGATCATATGAATTATTGAATTGAATTTTTGATTTTCCCGTCGACTGATTGGACCGAAGTGCTCGGTCTCAGGTTGACATGTCGGCTTCTTGTGCAGATGCTTCGACGATGTCTGGGGATTTGATTTGTATACAATTGCATCCTGGATTCCACTGCTAGCCACCATCCACCAATTGTATACATAACATCTTTCACCTGTATCACAGGAGTGAAATCTGCACTCAAACCATTTTGAGAGCTAGTAGTTGATACTGTATTACACGGCGGTAATGCAGTTATAACCGAATTTGAGCCACTATCTGAAACATCTGTGTTTCTACAGACACGTTTTTAGAGATTTGGACCATAATTTCAAGAATTATAAGAAAATAAGCAGTAAATAAATTTCAGAGCAAACAAGTGCAAAAATGCCACCAATTTCGAACTTACCGCCGACCATATGCTCACCCTTGGCATCATTCAGCCACTGAATAGCCCATGGGCATCCCCACTGCATACGGTATCGAAAAAAGACAGCAAAGACTGGCAACCCATTGGTGATAACCGGCGAGCGAACGCCAAAAACAACCTATGATTGCTATCCATTGCCTTCGATACGCGATTTGACGTTAACATTATTTGGCGCCCTTATATTCTCGAAAACAGACTTGGTTAAAGTGCATAGCCAAATCCCAATGGCATCAGAAATTCTACATGTGCAGGGTAAGAATTCCAACGCCTTATTGACAGACTATCTCGCGGTAAAGATTTTGTATACGTTTACTCAGATGACTGCCTCATTGCCACTCCAGACTAGGAAACCCAAGTTAGGCACTTGGACTTGGGATTTGAAAGGTTACACCGACACGGTGTTTCTATTAATATTCAAAAGTGTCAGAGAGGCGTTGACTCACTCGGCATTCTCGGCCACAACACTGACTGCAAGGGTATTCGTACAGTGCTTAGTAAAGTTGGGGCAATGGCAAACTTTCCATAGCCACAGACAATGAAACGTTATCGCACTTTTAACCGCTTGGCAAGTTATTACCGATGTCATTTCCAACATTCAAAGGAAGGCCGTGAATTTATAATTTTCACTGACCAAAAACGTCTGACTTACCCTTTGAACTCAACTATGGATAAGTATTTGCTTGGATAATCACGATACCTGGACTACGTTTCACAGTATGCATCACATATTCACCATGTATACGGAGGGAACAACACTGGCAGATGTCTTGTCGCTAATTTTTTCTCTCGTCCAAATAGACGGGGCAAACCTTGCGAAACTGGCTCATCTTCAAAAAGAAGATACTGGGCTTCAGCAGGAGTTGTAGAAGACAGCTCTGCAATTAGTCAAGAAACCCCTAGGTATGGAAAGAGACACTCTTCTACGTGACATTTCTGCGAGTACTCCTCGCCCCATCGTGCCTTAAAGTTATCGCCGTAGCGTCTTCAATAGGTTGCATCGCTTATCCCAGCCAGGTATTCGAACTACCATCAAGCTCGTAACTAGTCGGTTTTGTTGGCCTGGTATCATAAGGAAGTAAGCGAATTCGGTCACACTTGCTTAGCTTGTCAAAAGTGCAAGGTAGTAAGACACACCAAAAGCTCTCTCGATACTTTCCTTTCCCTGATGCTCGTTTCGGACACGTTCATGTAAATCCGGTTGGACCCTTCCCAAAATCTCATGGATATGACCGCATTTCAACTTGCGTCAACCATTGCACACGATGGCCTGAAGCAGTACCCATCAGGGATGCATCTGCTGAAACAGTCGCACGCGTCTCTGTGGAACGATGGATCACCAATATTTGCATACCCGCCCCCTATATCAACTGATAGTCGATGGCGATTCAAAAGCGGCTTATTCCACGCCTTTACTAAAATCGTAGGTTGAATGCGTTTTAAACAATCGCCCATCATTCTCCAGCAAATGGTATGTTATAACGTTTAAACTGACAGCTGAAGCCCGGGTTATGAACATCGTTATCTCTCCTAGGCATGCCAAATGCCTTGCAAGCTGACGCTGGCTGTACGGCTGCCGAGCAACTATTTGGTACAAAATTACAACTATCGGGTGAAGTTGTTTGTCCTTCTGGCTTCCCACCAGCGGTAGACAACGCGTCATGAGTCAGGAGGCTTACAAGTGTGATGCGTTCAGTTGAACCTGCTCCCCTTCGACCACAGTCCATACATGTCTTTGTTCACCGGTGTTTGAAAACTTCTTCACATGTATTTTTTCGTTGTGGCTGTGCATCGCCCCCTGGAAACTTCGCACGACGGGCCACGTAGAGTCATTAAACTTATGGATAAATTATTTTTCGTAGAGAAAATAGACCGCAAAGGCTCCGTCAGCATCGACCATCCGAAACCGGTATACTTAGAAGGCAATCCCACGAGCCTAGAACTAAACATTCCCAATAATACACGAGTAACTGAATATATGTTAGCAATCGAATAAATCTGCGGCACGTCGAAAACCTTCTATCGGGCTCTCAAAAAATCTGGTCCTGGACGAAAAGTTAGATTCCCGGAAAATCCCCACACTTATGTCATAGAACTAAATGATGCGATTTCCCAATTTTTATCCGCTTGTGGGATATTTTCCTCTCAGATATCAATTTTTTATGTTGTATCTCACAACACAGGTAAAAACATTTTTAGAACCGTGCGTGCTTCATCTACTAAAACAGTTATACATCTATTTTTTCCGATGAACTATTTTTCGCCCAAATTTTTGCACGTAAATACATATCATTATTCAAACGTTATTTTCGGTAAATTTCCTCAAAAGTTTCTCAGCATTCTTGTTTTCCTTTCCAGGTGCAACGGGCACTGGACAATAAGCAAACCAAGTACGAGATCAAACCGACAAATATCAAGAAAGCGCTGTACAGACGCCCTATTGGCATAGGAAGACAGCACTACATCAACCCGATTGGAAGAGCATTAAACGATAGTAAAGCCAATGCTTTCTTCACTGCCAGCAGGTTTTGTCTTAGGGTCATCATCACAGCGATAGGTAATTCCCCAGAGTTATTGGCCACAGTATTCATCACTGAACATTGGATGCCGACCCTCACCGTTTAAGTCAACTTGTCTAGCTGAAGGCTTTCGGTTAAACTCGGTTTTATTGGATGTCGATATTCTGAGGTTTTAATAATAATGTGCGTCTGTGGCACAGTGGTTAGGACTCTTGCCGACCATAACATAACATAACAATTTCGCTTTTATTCCAGAAACAGTACTTGTGGTACAGTGTGGAATTTACAGCACATATCTACAATATCGCATCTAATTTCACCGTACATTTAAAAGGGGTATTACAAAAATATATAAATAACACAACAAAAAAACCAAAAAAGAAACACAGAAATAACAAAAAAAACAAAAGGAAAAAAATGCAAATACAAATAACATGTAGAAAGGAAGATAAACACCAATAATGAAAAAATATTTCAGTATTGGATGGTGGAAGCTATGATATGTGTATGCGTGGTGAACAGTAACAGCTATAATCATACAAGAAATTATGAGATGTTCTTAAGAATGTTTATAGCCAAGATGATCAGTTAATTTGATTGAACAACACTAAACAATCATAAAATAAACAATCTTCAGGTTGTGTTTTTTTTATTGTCAGCACTAATGCAGTGTTTGCAGTGGTAGTGTGAGTAATCATGCATAATACAAAATTTTTTTAAGATGGTGATATTTCATATAATTAGTCTCTTTGGAAAAACTTCATCCTATCCGTGGACATCTAAACCCTCAGTCTGTTAACGCCCAGCTGTACACTTATGGATGCTGTGTGACTTTGGTGAAATCGGCCAAAATGACAATACGGCATCACCACCTAATCCTTTCAAGGTTATGTGCGTAATAAGTTTGTTATCACAATCATTTGAATTGAGACGTATATCAGCAGAGACATGAGTTGATATTATGACTAACCTTCAGCCTCACCACAGCAGTCATTTCCTTCTAGGGAGCAATAGATATCTGAAATCTAATCTCAATAAACCTTTGGCATCGAAGAATCACTGTACATGCCATTTGTTTTATTCTTGTCAAACAAATTTCTTATAATATTTATTTCTGAAGTGAAGAGTTAGTTTGGTTATAATATGAATGTGATGGTAAACGTTTTGCGATGTGGGCTGTACAACTCAGGGTCACATGCAGTTGCTTTTCGCTAGGAAGTGTGTGAACTGTGGTGAAATATAAGGTGAATATGTCCGGCCTCCAAATGTGTGGCCAACGTTTTTTGATGCTTATTCTGACAGAAGTTTCTAAAGTACTGTTTTTTGAAGTCGTTTCCAGCTAGGATTTCAAGTTGAATTTTTAAACTTAAACGAAGTTTTCCATACTATATAACACAGAAAACTGCAGTGTACGTCTCACAACCACAATCAATAAAGATTGGAAATTGAACTGACACTGTTATTCTTTTTAAATGGTTGCAACCAAATATTTAAAAATTTACAAGGTTATCGGGAAATAGTCAGTTGTTACTGTTAGGATGGGTTTAGAGAGGTTTTGTGAATTTATTGGGAGGTCTGGGAAGAAAATAGAGCATTATAGTAAATTCATTCCTGTTTCACTAAGTTTGAAACATCTGCTACATTTCGGTAAAGACAAATACGCTGTTTATATTCTCTTCAGGTGAGAGTGCTCCAGCTTCAAAATCATTTGAATTTCTGAAATATGAGCTCCCAGTGCGTCTTGCTAATATTATGCAAGAATGCCGACTTCTCCCCGTCGTACTGAAGGAGTCAAGATCATTTCAACATATATGTTCGCTGTAAGTTGTGCAGTTTTTTCCCAACATCTTATCAGATATGAAGAGACATTTGATACCCTTATGAAATATGAAGAATGTGCATCAAAGACACCATCTGCTGTTTCTGCATTTACGGATGATATGGACGGCATACTGCGGAAACACTCAAGGGTTGTTGAAATTTTGGCACTGGTGAGGCGACTTATTTTCATATAGTGGTTTAGGGCATTAAAGAAATTCAGAGTAGTAGCTCCTGGACAGTGGATGAGGAATTGCAACTGCAATATTTCCTGGATCGATTTTACGTGAATAGGATTGGAATACGCACTCTACTGAATCAGCACGGTAAGTGTATTGTAATTACCATGTAACTACGTCTACATAATGTCACGATAAGATTTTTGTCACCAAAATAATAAGGTTAGTCATGTTTTGCGATTCCTGTTGGAAATCCCTGCACCACAACCAGTTATCACAGACGCCTGTGGACATCCAGCTTTATAGACGTAGAAAGATAATATGCGGTGCAGAATATGAGTCCGTTTCATTTCTTTGGTCCTCCCCAGCTCCCCATAATCTCTAATATTCATCACACTTTATAATGAAATGCTTGACGGAATTTATATTATCTGATGGAGATAAATGTATTGGTTATATATATATATATATATATATATATATATATATATATATACATATATATATATATATATATATATATATAATTACAGTTTTTTGTACAGGAAAATTTCCTGAGGGTGGATTTGAAATAGTGAAAATAGTGAATTTAAAATAGTTTTTGTATGTAGGTAAATTGGCACGCATTAATGTAAAAGTAAGTTACACTGATATTTGGAAGCTGAAAACTAGTTCCGTTTGAACTAGGTTCTTGATCCTTTCGTGATTGCGTGATTTATGTTAATCATAAATGATTATATTTTCTTGGATTATTGTTTCCACCGTCGTCATAACCTGAAAAATAACCATAAGTGGTCTTCTGGGACACACCATCTTAAAGTTGAAAATACGGCTAGCTAATGGACACCCCAAAATTTGTTTAAGTTATTTGATATTGAGGTGAAATCTAAGCAGACATCTCAGCTGAAGATTAGTAGAATGTGTTGAAATGTCCTATTAGTGCTCGTGGGGCTTAGTTAGTACCGTTACGTGAAACCTTTTTACGTGGCTCATCTCGTTAGTCCAATTGAAATTAATATTTGTTAAAGCTGTATGTTACTAAAGTATAATGAAAAACATTACAAAATATTTCAAAGGACTTTTATAAGGGAGTTTTTCTTGTTGCTTCTTGGTGTTTGCAAGAATTGGTTTATTCACATGAAGAGGATGATTGCCTCTTACACTGAGATATGCTATTCTTTAGTTATAGCTAGTGAACCATGAACTAGTGAACTGGTTCTAATCGTCAGTTATTGGTGATTTACCTATATACCTACACTAGTTCTTGTTATCACAAACCTTACTAAGTGGTAGTCTTCTATAGCACTTTGCTGATGCCCAAATTTCATACAGATTGTAACTGACTCAACACTGGTGGTCATTTAATCTGTTAAAAGAAATAATTTTAAAATATCACTCTTTAACACATTGTAGTGTGTAATAATTACCACTATAAAATATTACGGCTCAAAGTAGACATCTAGAGAATTTAGATGTTTGACTATAGTTGTCAAACTATGATAACTAAAAATGAGACTCAACAAAGAATTTTAGTTAAAGTGAGGAAACCAGTGTGTGGTCTCCTTGAGCCTCACTAAACAAGTCGCTTGGAAAGAAGTTAGTAGTGGCCATACTAAAATATGGTACCAATCCATAAAGCCACTGACTTTTGGTCTAAGCTACGCAGACTACCGGAGTCCTGGGTATCTTTAAAATCATTGACTACAGACTCGGTGATATGGCTCAAAGTTGCGCATAGTGGTAGGTGTATTCATCCGTTGTCATCTTCCAAACATATTCATTCATTTTGGTTCCACTACATTTCTTTTCTTCACTTATATATGTGCTCCTAAGAATGACATCTTGAACTGGTACACCTTTGTAGAGAGTTCTGTTTTTATAAGTTCGTCAGCCCCTGTGATTCATAGACAGTTGTATGACAGTATTTTGTTGAGTGGTTATTCATTTGCTGTCGCTGAGCCTATCAATAATCATAAATTATATATAATGCACAGGCATATTTAGTGTGTTGTTTCGCTGTAATGCTGTCCAGTTACCGTAGTAGAATAGTAGTATAAAGTTCAGTACATTGATTATTTCTCTGAAATCTGTTTCACAAAAATGAATTTGCTTCGAATATGAATGTCCTGTTTTCTTACAATAAAATTAAACGGAATATGGGGTTATTTTAACAATTAGTAGGCATGTGGTATTCAAATCGAGCCAGAAGTCAGAAAGTATCTGTGTTTGCCTTGCACCAACATGATCTGCTGCTTTTGTTTAGTGGTTAAAAAATTAACCTGCCGGGTATTATGAAAAGTGTGTTGTTAAGCGCTGGCTACCTTCGATGACACACCAAAGAGTTCGGTGTTCAGTTTAGCAGTTACATTATATCGTGCATAGGGTTTCACTTTCATATATCGATTGTTAAGGAGGGTGCAAAGTACAATTTTAAGACGACTTCTACTTACAGGCAGGTGGAATGTACATTAAGAATGCTGTGTCCTATTAGCTTAGTTATTAAGGTCATTTGATTTGTAACACTAAAAGGTCATTTTTATAATCTTTTCTGGCACTACATAGGTAGTCTGTCTGTTTGTCTGTTTTTGACATAGAACTTTGCACATATGTGCGGCAGTTCAAGTCGCCACACTCCATGTAGCACGCGAAGCAAGAGAAGAAAGTACAAGAAAAGCATAATAGAGACAGTAAACAGAGGTGTGAGACAAAGGAATAGTAGTAACGAAGAACAACATAGTTTAATTGGAAATCATAAGTCACAGGAAGTGGATGCATCTGCGCCATCATCGAGATAGATTTTGAGCCATGTCACCAATTGTTTCCAACCATAGATTTTTACCGTCCCGAGGACCCCAACCAGGAAGCCAGTTTACACCTTCCTACGTGGCTTAGACCAACTGTTGTGGATTTCATTGACTGGTGCCAAGTTTTTGTTTGACCGCCGCTAGCTTTTTTCCAGCCTGACCCTATATCCGCTAACAATGCTCGTCGAGGGAGGCGATGGCTTGGCATACGTAACACATGTCCTAACCATCTCAGTCTTTGTAACTTCACGACTTCGTCGATTGATTTCCCCTGTTTACCTAGAACTCGACGCCTAATCTCAATGTCGCTCACCTTATTATACCACTTCATACGGGAGATAGAGCGAAGGCACCTATGATTAAAGACAGCTAGTCTTTTCATGTCTTCCACTCTCAGTGTCCAGGTCTCACAACCATAAAGGAGGACGGAGCGGACTGATGAGCAGTACACCCGCCCTTTGGTCGATAGTCGAACATCTCGTCTACGCCAGAGTCGGCGTAAACTGGCAAATGCGAAACGAGCCCCTTGTATTCGTGCTGAGATTTCGTCAGAGATCAACCCGTTGGCACGGGCTAATGGTACTTCCCAAATAAGTGAAGCGGTCAACGTGCTCTACCACTTCACTTCCTATTTTTAAACTAGGCGTCGATGTAGTCCAGTCCTGTAACATCATCTTGCATTTCACAGCGGGAGCGAATCGCATGCCAAACATTCGTAGATTGCAGCTCAAGGTGTTTAGAAGACTCTGCATTTCGTCAGAGTCGTCGCCTAGGAGGACTATATCGTCTGCATATTCTAAGTCAACGAGATTATTCTCTGGTAGCAAGTCAATCTCTGAGTCGCTGAAGTGAGTTATGGTTACGTCCATTAACACATCTATAATGAAGTTGAATAGAAAAGGGGATAATGGGCATCCTTGACGGACACCACTGGTTGTCACCAGTTCAGATGACAGCTCGCCGTAAGCCCTCACCTGGCTGTATGAGTACGAGTAGAGTGCCTTAATCAGTGCAATGTATTTTCTCGGAATTCCCTTTACAGCCAAGCATCTCCAGAGAACCTCTCGGTCGACAGAATCGAATTCCGCCTTTCGGTCAAGGAATATAGTGATTGTTGGGCGCCGGTAAGAATGCCTATGTTCTAGAATCTGTCAGAGGGTGAAGATATGATCAATACACCCTCTTCCTGGCCTAAAGCCTGCCTGGCTCTCTCGTGTTTGTGCCTCCCGAGCACCACTTAATCTACGCATTATTATTGATCCTAGGACTTTAGATACTATATTAGTCAAGCTAATCCCTCTGTGATTATCACAGGAAGACTTGTCTCCCTTCTTGTATGTGGGGATAATCAGTGACTTACACCAACCCGATGGGACTTCCTCTGATTCTCAGACGCTGCCTAGAACCTCAGTTAATGCAGACAGTAAACTGTCTCCACCGTACTTAAATACCTCTGGAGTCATTCCATCAGGTCCTGGTGCTTTGCCTAGTTTTAGATTGGTGACAGCTTTAAAAACCTCGGTTAGGGAAGAAGGACCTGTGTTTATATCCCATTTGGGTGTGTGCTGGATAGCGGGCAGGTTCAGTGTGGCTGTCGACAGGTTGAATTGTTCCTTAAAGTGTTCTTTCCATCGTTCGAGGCGTCTGTCCTGAGAGCTAATTAAGGAGCCATTTTTCTCAGAAATAGTCTCACTTATGATTTGCCCTCTCCCACCCGTTTCCCTGATGAGTCTAAAGAGTTGCCTGGTGTTGCCTATCCTCGAAGCTTTCTCCATCTCTTTGGCTTTTGTCACCCACCACTGTTCACGGTCCTTGCAGAGACTTTTCGTAAGTTTCCTTTTGTGTAGCTTTCGCCCCTCATTGAATTCAGAGCTCGCCGGAATAAATCTTCTAGCATCCATCAGTTTGGATGAGGCGGTAGAGATCCAATGGTATTTACCCATATTTGGGTTTACCTTATTCAGTAGGTAGTACGATTAGTACTTATCTAACAGTACCACTGTACTTATCTGCTTGATTCTGTAAACTAAACCAAATAATTAACGTAGAACTCTGCGCAAAAATGACACACTTCAGGTTGTCACACTTTGGGAAAGCACAAATAAGTGTTGAGAAAAGAGATTTAGCGAAACCATAGCGGACAGAAAGCGTCACTGAAAATAGTTACGCCAATAACGATGTAATGAATCTGGAGGATTGTTAGGAGTGATAAATTTCACCATCCGGGTGACAAGGAATAAATACACATGTGCAACTGAAAACAACTTTGAGTGGTTATAGATAAGATTTTATTTTGATAAATCGCACAGTGTTTACAGTTATATGAACTGATGACGTTTCGAG